TGAAGTCCTACAACGATGCACGTACTCTGGATGGCCTACCTGCAGTTGGTGAGGATGACCGTTCATTCCAGAACCGCTTCAATGAAATGAATGCCGATGAGAGCCTGGTTGCTGAAGCTTTCAGCGAGAAGAAACTCACCCCTGCAGAAAAGCAGCTGTTCGAGGAGGCTCGATGCAAAGCCTTGCAGGTCTGGTTCGATCATGATGCTTGGCGACCTGTCAACGAGGACGAGGCCCATGATGGTGAAGTGATCCCAGCCAGGTTTCTACAACGATGGAAGCCTACAAAAGAAGGGCCGCAAGCGAATGCTCGCGTCATCATCCAAGGCTTCAAGCGCAAAGATGTTCTCAATGAAGAGCTTGAGCGAGAATCTCGTCTATGTCATGGCAACTCACAAGCGATGGAAGCTTTGGTCAGCAGATGTGAAGTCAGCCTTCATGCAGGCGGATAGCATTGATGCAACCACGAGAATCTACATCCGACCTTCAGCTGACATGCGTCGCTTGCTCGAGAAAAAGATTGACCTCAAGCCATGGCAGATCATGAAAGCCTGCAAACCAGCTTTTGGAGATGTTCGTGCACCACGGCAATGGAACAACACAGCAAACGAGTACTTGCTGCATGAGTTGAACTTGATTGCACACCCACTCGACCGCTGCGTGTATCTTTCTTTGCGACAAGCTGCCGATGGTGATGACCCCTTCTGCGTCTTCGAATACAATGGAACGCATTGCATTGTTGATGGCATTTTAGGCCTCCACGTGGACGACTTCATCGGTGCTGGAGAAGGTGTCACGACTTTGAATGACATCACAGGTGAGATTGAATATGATGTGAACACCTTTGTTGGCCGCCTGCAAAAGCTTTCCCGGCGATTCAAGTTTGGCAGTTGGGACTTTGGCTCGAGTCTGGGAGTGAAGTTCTGTGGAGCTGACGTAGTCCAGAGTTTGAACCACGAAACCATCCAGATTTCCCTCGAGCAATACTGCCAGAAGGTGAAGCCGATTTGCTTGGACAAGTCACGGAAAACAATGGTCAACGATGCTTGCACTGACAGAGAGCACAAACAACTTCGTGCATTGCTAGGAGCGCTTGCCTGGCCAGCTCATCAATGTGTACCACAACTTTGTGCCAGTGTCAGCATCTTGCAGTCAGCATCCAGCAGCCCCTTGATCAAGGACGTCAATGAGGCCAACAAGCTGTTGAGATTTGCAAAGAATGTGACCAAGGATTACAAGATGACCTTCCACGCTCACGGCGACATCTCTTCGTTGTGCATTGGTGCCTACACAGATGTTGCATGGGCCGTTCGCCCGGACGGAACGTCACAGGGAGGTCTGCTGGTCTTCCAGCGCAACCATGAGGAGTTGAGCTCAGAGAAACCAATGCCGCTGACAATACTCCAGTGGCAGTCCAAGAAGTTGCAGCGCATTTGCAGGTCTTCCTTGTCTGCTGAAGCCCAGGCCGCCGCAGCAGCAGTTGACGAGCTTGAATGGAGTAAGATCTTCATGGCTTGCGTTGTGGACCCCACCTTGGACATTGGTTCAACTGAGGCCCTCAGGAAGTTTGGCACGTCTCCACTTGCCACTGATGCTCGATCCTTGTTTGACGCTGCTCGAAGCATCACCCCAGGAATGAAGTTGAGTGAACGCCGCACTGCAATCGAAGTTGCTATAGTGAAGGATCGAATGTCAGCTCTTGATGGACGATGGTTTTGGGTGAACTCACAGCAACAAATAGCTGATGGTTTGACAAAGCCGGCAGCAAAAGACAACCTGGCCTATGTCTTGAACCGAGGAACTCACAAGCTGAGCTTTGAGCCGGACTTCATCGCCGCCAAGAAGGACACCTATGAGGATAAAGAAGCTGAAAGAAAAGAACATGAAGAGGCATCGAAAAACATCTTCGAAAACCAGATCTTCACGCTTGAGGAGAAAGATGGCAATCTCTGCGCCCTTCCTGGTTGTGAGAAAACATGTGATGCCTCAAATCCAAAGAACAAGTTCTGCTCCAGGCGCCACTTCTACCTCCATGCCCATCGACAAGGTCAAAGACATGATGCTTGGAGAACGGCAGCCATGTCGGCTGTAACTTGTTTGATTGCCAATGAAATGCCAGTTGTTGAACGAAGCCCCACCGAGAACGATGAGCGCATCCCTGAGTCCTACCTCGGCACTCGCTTTTGGCTCACTGTTGGTGTTTTGGTTTTCTTTGCATGCATTGGCCTGGAGCACATGACCTACAAGATCTACAATCTCTTCCTCGAGAAGGCAATGGTTTTGTGGAAGAAGAATGAAGAGAATGAAAAAGAAGAAACGGTCGAGACCAATGACCGAACTTGCACCTTGCCCCAACATCGTGAAGAGGTGATGGAACAAATCCTGGCCCTTTCCAAACGACCAGGTATCGACTACAGACCAGGCATCGACAGTCATGAGGTGACATGTTTTCCATGTGCGACTGCCGTCGCATCTTTCTGTCCGAAGGGCCCTTGATCCAACCGTGTTACGACCTCGACACTCGCAGCCATAAAGGTGCGCTTTTGGACTCGCTTGGACGCTTTGTGGACTTCGGTTGCCACCACTGCGATTGAGAGTATAGTAATATAGCTTTGGGAAGTTGGCCATATAGGATAATCAGTCCTCAATGAGAAAATGGAGCCTTAGCCGTTGGTGTTCCAAACTTTCATTGTTGTAGGTTCCATGTCATGGGCAGCCACAAGTCATCAATGGTTCCTACATGTTCCTCCCTAGCAGACAGACAGAGACACATGGCACTTTTACACTTTGCTTCGGTTGGCATGCAGAATTTGTTCTGTTTCCCATAACTCTATTGGAAAAACACAATGCAATGCACGAATGCACTGAGCGTCCGTTTGAAATCGAGTCAAGCCGTCAGAGCTCAGAGCTGAAGCAAGATGGGAAAAGATGCTGAAGGAAACCTCCTGCCCAAATAACATCAAATAACTGCTTCACAGCATCAACTAGACATGCCAAGACTCTCAAGAATCCAGGGGTTCAGCTATCATTCCTGGATGGAGGCGCGTCTAGGCGACCAAGGACGGACCTCCCTGTCCCAGGTGGTCGAAACGCCACAGAAGGTGAAGGTGGTCCTTTGTGGCGGTCAAGCTGCTTGGCTTCCTTGCTTGGCGTCCTTTAGATCGAGGGTCAATAAGATCATCGATTATAGTTGAGGAGAAACCCCAGTAAGCGGGACTTTCGACAGACGTTTCTTTGGACTCCAACATCACGACACACCCCAGGAAGAGCTTCAGTGCACCGAATTCATCAATCAAGAGCTTGTGGCACACCTTGATGACAGTCACGGTGGATGTTCCTTCATTTGGAGACTCAACTTTGCTCCCCACTTCCATTTACCCTGGACAAAAGGTATCACCGGCTTAACCTGAAGGACTGAGTCAGGCAGCATACACCCGCGAAGTTTAATGTTGTGTGGTATGTTAGTGTGAGGTGTCCTATTTATGAAACAGCCCGGGGGGGGGGGCAGGCCATGTTAGTGTGGATACACTGTGTGAAACAAGCTTGGGGAGTTTGGCAGGTGTATGGAATACGTTGAGACTATATAACATGGATCTGTTTTGAAGGATGATTGGGCGAGCTCGCATGTGGTATGTTAGTGTTGCTGCCTGTAGCATTTCGGTTTCAAGACGTCCAAGTGTACGGGTGCACTTTGGGATGGCCTAGATGTCTTGCGCAACAAGGTTTACTGTAGAACTCTGTGTGGGAAACAAGGTTGAGACTAACGTGGATCCTTTCCAGTTGCTGGATTCCCTGGATCTTGACTACTGTGAGGTATTCCATATTAGCATCTCCTGGGTGCTGCATTTGTAGTGCACCAATCTTTATTCCAGCCTTGTGGTGGTCTATGTTAGTCTCCAAAATCAACTCTTCCCCCTGAGACCAATGGTTTCCATATTCCCCAGGAAACCTAACGAGCAGGTATGCCATGTTAATGAGCACTGAGGCTTGGAGCCGTGTTCCATGTTAAACTTTCGGAGTATATAGCTGGATAGTGCCATCACCTCTGCAGCAAATCTTCAGGATCCAAAGCCTGGTGGAAGACGTGAGGCCCTGTCATAAAAAGGTATATATATATAATATACAAGATAGAACTGCCAAGCCAGTATCCTTGGCTCCACTTGAAAGTGTGTTCACATCATGCACAACAGGGGGATCCCCAGATATCCACAGATATCAGATATTAGTTGTACTGTTTGAAAGTAAATGAACACACCAAAACCCGGTGTTTGGAGGCTTCCCTCCAAAAAACACCCAACTATATAACTATGCACATCAGCGGCCTCCATAAGCTCGCAGATGATTTCTTTGCTCGCTGGACTCAGGTGTTGTTAGACTTGGAAGAGGACACCCGAACGGGTCCTGCTCTGAAGCTCTTGAACTTAGATCTCAAGACCACCTCCCTGGCTGTGAAGGTGGGATTTGTGTGGTCTTTTTGGGGGGGGTCGAGACGGGTGAGACAGCACAAAGGGTTGTGGAATATTGTGGACATGTGCAGTGGGAGGTGGTTCAAGGAGGGAAACATGTGGGGCGGGTCATTTGGGTCAGGCCGCCTTGTCAGTGCTTTCTTCTATAAATACTTGATACTTGCCCGGAGGTGGATGGATGCGTGGCATACTTTTTGCAGCTTTCAGTAGACTTCTTCATGTTGAACGAGTTTTGACTGGTATGCTACAACATCTCTGTATAGAACTACGCAGTTTCTGGTACTGTACCTTGCCAATTCTTTCCAATAGTACTCTGGGCAATTGAACTGTCCTCCACTTGTCCCCCAAATCAAGTCCTGTGGCAACTTCTCATAATACAATTTTACCTCCACTTGCCACTACCTGCCTTTTAGTATCAAACTATCATGTCAACCCACAGCAAGGACTAGGAAGACGACACCCACGCAAGTGTGCCACCCTAGTTTTTGAGCAGACACGCTCCCTTCAACTTCACCCATTCGGTGTGCAGACCAGGTGGAGTCGGCCACTGACCACAGGGGCCAGAGTAGTGCGGACTTCCGGCTGGATCTTGGTCTGGGCTCGGTCAGGGGCTCCCAGAGGGTCTCAGTGGCTGAGAGTTTCATGGCGTTCTCCTGGACGGGTGGGTTGGTTGTTTGCTTGGTGAGTGGGTCGGGTTTGCTTGGTTGGTCCTCTGAAGTACATGGATAGATTTGCAAGACACAAACTGGGGTTGTTCTCTTCTATCTATCCAAGAATTTGACAGATCTCCATATTATTCCATTGATATGTGCCAAGCAATAGCCGTGTGGAAATTCCACCTACTTCGATTCGCTCGACAGCTGGATCTTGCTGGACAGCGGTCGTTTCGGTGATCTCGGTCACCGTGTGTCAGTCGAAGATCTCGTCAGTGAGGGTATCAATGGACCAGCCCCTAAAGACCATCCTTGGGTCATCGTACATGAAGGTCAATAGATGAAAATAGATGTACTATGAGACTATGATGTACTAATATTTGTAGCAGGGCTAATTTCTTCAATACGAAGGCCGGAAAGGTGCAGAACTGCATCGATTTCCGGGGGGGTCGGTCTGGGCGTTTGTTCTCTGGCCCTTGGAAGGTTTTTCTTTTCTCAGAATGGATTGTGTCTTGGGCCATTTGTCGCATGTTTGAGAGTGTGAACTGCAGAGGTTGACGGGTGTGACTTGGGTCGAAGCCACGTACTGTAGACTCTTGATTAATGACCCTTCCAGATTGAACGACCTCTTCATATGTTGTCATTTTTTTGACAGTCTACATGTTTACACCTCAATCAACTCATCTTAGGCCACTGGCACGCTCAGTTCAACAGTTCCATCCCCCAGCACCACCCTGCCACCATCTTATCCTTCGCATTCGAGGCGAACGTCTCCCATCAAGGCAAGCCTTTCCTTCGTCCCAAGGAGGTGGGTTGTGTGAACTGTATGATATTCCATTCACTTTGTGAGTACGAGCACACGCAAGATTTGCACCTCGCCTCGTTCTTCTGCGTTTGTCACTAGCGGTGTAGTTTCGGCAGGAAAGAAGATGAAACCACAGTGGTCACAGTTGCTTGTCACTTGTTCATTTGTTGTTGCAACACCATAGGATCCAAGACACTGAGTTTTGTTTTCTCGGCCTTGGGCAACCTGCATTTGCTCAATGGGTTCTTTCACCACACGTTGGGTCCTGTTTGTCTGGTCTTAACGTGGGAGATCGTGTGAGTCAGACGCGAGTCAACCGACCAAAAGTTGGATTGTAGTCCCTCCCCTCAAGACACATGGGCATTTGTATAGCTCCGACTGGAGAGCTCTGGCAGGTGGATATGGAGATTCAGCAGGCCCTGGTGCTGCGTTTGGAGAACAAGGTGGAGCCCTCACAGAATCTCATGGAGCTGAGCCTTTGTACAAGAAGTGGCAAGGTAGGATCATCAGGTTGGATGGTTGAAGATGCGGACGGTTGCTCCGTTTGAAAGACAGAAGGAACACTTGAATCGGCCTCGCTACAAGAGGGCTCCCTGAGTATCTAAGACTGGGCAGTCTATTTGGGTCCTTTGGGTACAGAACCAGTGGTCATCCTCTTGACACATAAACCCAACCTTGACAGCTGCTCCCTGCCAAAAGAGCCTCAGCCTCAGCTTACTTACTTCAACTTGGAGTGGTTGACCCCTGTTCAAATCGGGAAAGGCGTGTTGCTTCAATGTTGATTCCGCACACCGTTCAGCTCAGCCACGAACCAAAGAGACACATGCTTGCAAGAATTGACATGGATGTGGAAAAGTCTCCTTCCCCCTTCCAGGTGTGTTTCTTGCAGCTACAGTGTTGCATTGACATTGAATCTAGCATGATGGCTCTGTTTTTGGAACACATAGGCAATGGATGACGAACACCTTTTTGCAAACACTTGGGTCCAGAGGTGTCCGGAGTTTTTGTCTTGATCTATCCCTCATTTCTGCCAGTCCAACACTCATTCCATCTCGCTTCTAAAATTCTATACGCCCGAGGCACACACACACAACAACCGTAGTCCCCTAGAAGCAGGGTTGCCAACAAAAGGATCGATTTGTTACCCTCTTAGCTCTCTGGGGACATGTGATATACCCCTAGACAATCGCAACCAGGTTGTACCCATGTTGTGGTTCATCCGAAGATAATACAAAGCCATGGATCCAGCATCCTCCATCCAGCTACTCGTAGTTTGCATGTTTCGCCGAGTGTCTACACCCGCAGCAGCATGGCCAGCTGCTTGAGGAGTTTGATCTTCGCGCCACTGGAGATTTACATGATCCCTGGACTGGTGGCCAGCCTCCTGGGCTTTTGGCCTGGCCCACCAGAAGCCCCTGGGACAGTCGAAAGCATTGGCTTGAAGATCTGGGTTACCTGATTGCCCCTGCAAGGGTACACCTTTAGTCCAATTGAACATGTTAGCTCTTGTCTTCCCAGGTTTTATACCCGTGGGACCTTTGGCCACCCTGATCTGAAGTGCGGCAATTGTATCGGTTGATTTGCGTTGTTTGCCTCTCTTACTCTCTCCCCCGCTCTCTTCTGAGTGTTTTGGGTGAGGTTGAAATCAGTTGAACCTTCCCGGCCTGCCACAAACAGTGCTTTCTTTTGGCCTCCCACAAATGACCACGATGTGTTCGCTGAACTTCATCGGCACGATATTGAACTTGATCGTCAATGGTCCGAGCGTCCGAGTGATTCCCATCATCTCCGAAGCCCGCAAAGGACTGGGTTCCTACTTTATTGATTGCATATGATTGCATGATGCATGCTCGGGAATACATATATAAGTTTGCATTAAGTTGTTATTGAGCAGTATTATAAGAATAGTACCGCTTTCATGTTCTTCTTTTGCATGAAGGGACGGTATTCTCCAGAGTGGGACCCGTGCGGCCCAGAGCGGCCGATGTTTCTCCAGGTGGAGAAGGCCGCTGGCGTCTCACTGACACAGCCGACGATCGTCCGGGAGGCGAAGCTGCAGAGACTGCGCATTTGAGGTGATGTTTTCGTCAGGATGATTACTTTGTGGAAACTGAGCAAAAGCCATTTCCTTGCAGATGCATGCTGGATTTGCTGCCAATGAGAATGCAGAACACGGGGGGAGTCCTTATACCTGCGACGGGTTGGGGTGGAGGGCTTTCAACGAACCATCACCTGTTTTTTTCTCAGGTACCGGTAGATTTCCCCAAAAGTCTAGGAACCAAATCGAGCATGCGAAGTTGAAGCAACAAAACGACCCCTTCTGTGTCCGTACAGTAGCTTTCTAGCACTTAAGCTACTCCCCTTCCTCCACACCAGGAGATCTCCGCATTTGCACCTGGGCCAAGCCGAGCTGAGAGGTTGAGGTGCGGGGAGCCTCCCGGTGCTTGCCGGGAGAAGACAAAAGACGGAAGACGGGGATGCCTGGACTTCTGGGGCTGGGTTGATTGAGGATAGAGCTTTGTTACTAGCACCGCCTGAGGGCACCTGAGACCCGCCGGGTTTGTATAATAGGGGTTTGTCTACAATATTTGTCCATACAACATGCCACCCTCAGGGTGGATTGCACTGATACTACCTCATACCTGGGGATTGGAGGTGCTTGAAGTGCAACTGATATTCACCTTTGCAAGTGTCCAACCACAACATGGACCAACCTCGCGCAGGTTGCTAATGAATGCTGTGATGTTTTTTTTTTTCATAGGCTTTCGGCCCTTCCAACTCACTCTTTTCTCACAACGGTGGAGCAGAGCAATGGATCCCCAGAACCCACCAAGAAAGCAAGCAACGGCAGGGATGTGCTGGAGGAGAACGCATCGAGGGCCAAAGAGTTGGCGGAAGAGGTTTACAAGCGAATTCCTGACAAGATTGGCACCTGGGACCCCCGCTGGGAGCCGCTGGTGTTGTTGTGTCGCCAGATGCTCATCACGAAACCTTGATGAGACCTTGAAGGCGGTTCTTTTGTTGGAAAACACATGAAAACACCAACGCAGTATTTGGGGCGTAGCAGTTGGGGCAGTGATTCTGGTTCTGCACCACCCAACATCACGTGCAATTCAATAGTGATTCTATCGGCATATGGATTTTTACAGCGGATTGGGCCTTGGGGATCCAATGCGGGTGTCTCAGCTTGCCAGAATTGGTTCAACGGAACAGCCACCCCTGAGTTTTCGGGGTGAAAACCATGGTTTCATGTAGATTTTCTCTTAAGCCAATCCGCATTGACAGGTTCTTTTCCTTGCTTTCCACATACCCTGATGGTCGTTTGTGGGGGTGAACTGAACTGCTCCAACTTGGCTGAGATGACTTGACCCACAAGGGGTCGCAAACGGCCCAAACCCAGCCAGGCGTGTTTCCAGTTGAGGGCTAGTGCACAGCTATTTTGCCCCTTTTGGAGGTTTATAGCATGTTGCAGAAGTTGGCCTTTGGGGTTCATAGGAGAGGTCAAACACAAACCATCCATAAAACCATCACCTTCCATCATCACGTATCATTGGGCTTGCTGACCCCGGGGGACATCGACAAAACATATATATAATAAAGTATAGCATTTCTGTTGATATTCCCTCACTAGTTTTCAAGAGATTCATCTATACCAGCCACAGAAGTTTACACTACACCAAGGCAAGTGTTTCGGAGAGATTGAAGAGAGCCATGTAGATCTTGCAGCTGGCAGATCGATGCATTCGAAAAATGCTTTCAGACGCACCAATGATCCACATCCACGTGTGACCGCTGCGACCCCTCTGCGACCGCTGCTGCGACCGCTGCTGCGACCGCTGAGGTCTCGAAATTCGCTTGTCCTCTCCCACTGTTTATGTTCCGGTGGCCGTCGGGCAGGCGAAACGGTTCGGGTGAAGGGTGACTTCCGTTGGTCTTGCACTGGTCATGGAACAGGTCCATGTCATCAAGCAAAATCGAATCCAAGTGGATTTGATTTGACAATCCAAAAGGACCACAATGTGATTGATTTCTGTTTCACTTGAGCATTACTGGCGATGGTAACATGTCCTATCGGAGATGTTTTGTATGTGTGTGCTGTACGATAAGGTTAACCAGCAACCGCCAGGGATCTCACGGGATCTCCCACCGATTCCAATGTTTGATGATGTCAATTCCCAAGATAACTGTTCTACATGCAAACTCAATCTGGAACTATATTATATTATGAAGCCATATGAAGGCACTGACCCCTGACAGTTTGTAGTATATATACAGCTTCCGCTGATGCCACTTTCATGATTTGAGTGCGTAGACTAGCAACGGTGATCAGTGTTCCACTATAGGGTTTGCCTAGGCCAAAGGCGTGTACACTTGCATGAACACCTCCAAGTGTCTAGTGGCCAGTGATAATGTATAATATATTTTGTATGTTTGCAGCATGAGTTGTAATCTCACTTTCTTATATCTCTTGCTACTCCCAAGTCATTTTCTTGACATCTTAGATGCCAGGTAATTGCTTAGCAGCCTGTGACGACCTGTGTCAAGGTTTGTTGTTCTTCCATCGGCAACTGCCCGGCAACTCGGCTCTCCTTTGGGAGGCGATCATCACTTTGGGCCAACTGTCCCTCAAGAGCCCTGAGCCCTGCCTCTTTGACAGCTACTTGGATTGGAACAATGGCAGCTCAATGGCCTCAGTTCATTGTGCTCTTGGTTCACAGGACCTCAGTTCTGACTTGGACATCATGGCAGCTGCAGGCACTCCAGAGCAGAGACATGGCGACGGTCTATTCGATACCCCAACCGCTGAGACCCATAGTGCCGTTGTATGTAACAGGTAAGTTTTGCGTACCTGGTGGAACCGGGGGATGGTTTCTACTGGGCATCGGTCCTGGAAACCTGTCCACTTCGTGGATTTGGATACACTTTGCGACCCAAGAGCTTTTTTTGTCCGATCTGCGACCTGAGATCTTCACTTCAACATCGATCTGAATCACACCTTCATCTCCACCGTGAACCAGAACAATGAGAGCTTCGAAACTTGGTTTGAAACAACGCGAGCACGAGAAAAGCATCGCCGACGGATGTGAAGAGCGCACCAAGGAAGGTTGTGGGTCCAAGAAAGGCAAAGATGCAGCTTCCTGCAGCCCTGATGCAGGGACATTTGTGTGGTATACTGCTTCCACATGCCTGTACCCAGTCGCTCCAAAAGGATAAGCATTGATAAGCAGCTGTTAGTGGAGCAGCCGAGGATGTGGTAGAGCCATTGCCAATCCACATCTCTCTCAAGCTGCCTGGTTGAGATGATGTTTCCTCCAAACCAGATTGGATTCGTGTGTGTGTGTGTGTATACCGCTATGACAAGCGGAAATGTCTTATTCAGCAGGCGAGCGGTGGGCATTCTTGAAGTCACCGCTCAACGAAGACACAAGTTTGCTGTGATATGCAATCTGGACGCAGATTGCACGTACCTGCGAGAAGCCGACGATGATGTCTTTCAAGCTGTCACACTCATTTTTCAGGCTGTTTTAGGTCAATCAGGTGGTCAGAGTACTCGACGGTGTTGCACTTATACCCACTCAATCTGGAGGCCGTGGGCTCAGGAGGTCAACGGTTATGACATCGTTCTATCGCCTTTCCATAACTCTTCCCAGTGTGAATAGGGTGCATGCCAGGTCTGGCGACACCGTCGAGCACCTGTTGAAGTCAGGATGAAACCCACTTGAGGCTTCATCGAACCCAGATCACCCGATGGGGTGATGCAAGCTGCCATCGAGCACAAACTCGCGGTTCTTGAGCCGTTACAGAGCTTGCTTCGTGCACAGCTGCCAATGGCGAAGTTAGATAGAGAGAGCGCAGTTCGTTCGGGAGAATTTCCCCCCCAGTTAGCTCCTGCGGGAAACTATATGTGGGGTTGCCAACTGTCCGTGCCTCAATTTTGTAAATTACTTTGGTTGGGTACGAGGAAACCCCTCCCCCCTTTTCTAGGACTGACCTTTTTTTTTCTACCGGGGCATCAAGTTTGAGTTCTCAAAGAGTTGCAAAATCTAAGCCCCTTTTCGGGCTTTTCTAGCCGACATGTTTGGTACGAGGACACCCCTCACTTCTAGGCTTCACGTTGTTGTTCTACAACTGACCCGAGTTGGTCTACGCAGTCACTGTGAGCACCACAGCCTGTCAGTCGTTGACACAGACCGCTGTACATGTTTGGTGCGAGGAAACCCCTCTCTCTTGTAGGCTTCACTTTGTTGTTCTACAACTGACCCGAGTTGATCCGCACAGTCACTGTGAGCACCGCTGCCTGTCGGTCATTGACGCAAACCGCACCAGGAAACCCCTCTCTTCTAGGCTTCACTTATTTGTTGTTCTACAGCTGACCCGAGTTGGTCTACACAGTCACTGCAAGCACCACAGCCTGTCGGTGATTGACGCAAACCACTGCACAATTTTGGTACGAGGAAACCCCTCTCTTCTAGGCTTCAGTTCTACAACTGACCCGAGTTGGTCCACACAGTCACTGTGAGCACCATAGCCCGTCGGTTGTTGACGCAAACCGCGGCACATGTGGGTTATGAGGAAACCCATCTTTTCCTTTCTTTGAGCTTCACCTTGTTGTATTTACTAAGCGCAGTCACGATGCGCGTTGCCGTCTGTTCGCACCTTACGCATTGGGTACGAGGAAACCGCTTGCTCCCAACTTCTCTTTTTAAAAAGCAACCCCTTCGGGGCCAGCAGGGTCTTGGCTTAGAACGCCCGGCACTTAATTGACGTCAGATCGTCCGGACCTTAAGTTACAGTTGCTCTCGGATCTGGGGTCTGTTCAGACCTTCGAGGTTTGTGCCTTTGATGTGATGGGCACAAAGAACCCATTCAATTCTATGCTGTCAAAACCACCTTGTTGGGTACGAGGACTCCCCTCTTTTTAGGCTTCACAGTGTTGTCGTACCGAAAATTGATTTCAGGTAGTCCCGCCCTAAATTTATTCTCAGATCGGAGGCTTACTCTGACCTTCGCGGTTTTGTCTCTATCGTAACCAAGGAACCCTTGCTACCTTGCTGGGTACGAGGACTCTCCTCTTTCTAGGCTACGCCGTGTTGTCTTACTTGAAAGCTTTGAACCCTCCGTTGGGAGGTCCTTGTCTGTGTATACCGCTATGACAACCGGAAATTTCTTATTCAGCAGGGGAGCGGTGGGCATGCTTGAAGTCACCGCTCAATGAAAACACTTCAAGATTGCTGTGATATGCAATCTGGACGCAGATTGCACGTACTGGGTCCTTGACCTTTCTCGTGCCGCGTCGCGTGAAGTCGTGCCACTGTCGGTGTGCCTTGCGGAATCACATGCTCCAGGTACATGTGTAGTGAGATGCATATGTTGTTCATCTTGAGCTTAGAAATCAAATCGCAATGGCGCAGACAGGTCGGTGCATGTGTAGAACCTATGGTTGACTTAAAGGCTAATATGCTAATCGCATTGAGGCAGCCATATAGGAAGTACTATGTGCACAGAATATGTATAGACACAATCGCAGTGGCGCAACACAATCAGGATGAAGAGAGCAAGAACATGATCTTTAATAGGTCCTTAGTCATGACATGGCAGATTTTCCGCCATGATCGTGCGACGTCCACTGGCTTCTACTGCTTGCCACTGAGTTTTTGTTGTTTGCTCCCAGGCTCTTCGTGGCATCTTTTTTGAAATACTTTGTTTGGTGCCCAGTTACCTTTTTCCACGTGGAGTCGAAGAAGACACTCCGCAGCTATGCGCAAGCTCGTGCGCATGCTGATGCGAACAAGCTGGATGAGGCCAATGTGCGTCTTTGGGGGCATTAGGCATTCTAGGTTGGAGGGGTTTGGATTTCAGGTGACTACAGCCATGGTTGATGTGGCTCGCAAGGAGCTACTGTGAGAGTTCCATTGGTCACTGTTTACTTCTTAGTTTGGCAGTGTGTTGGTCAGGACGGTTTCTTTTCTTCAGCTCCTTCCTTGAAAGCTTGGACCCTAATTTTTGACGAGTCTTCCTTGAATAGGCTGTATCGGCAGCAACAGCAGCATCAACAACAGCTCACATCAAGAGCATTTTCACCATTGCTTCCTAGGATGTGAAGAGTGCAGAGGATGGGGGGTCTTCTGCGCAAGGGTCTGTTGCTGGATGCTCAGGTCGAATGTTCGTGATGGTGGTGGTAGAATTGTCACCATCCGGGTTGTTCCTATATGTGTTTCTTGGTGAGGCTGGTGCTAAACCGACGGCACCTGCCTAAGGCTAAGCAAGGCTTGAAAATCAAGAGCATTGTCACCATTGCTTCCTAGGATGTGAAGAGTGCAGAGGATGGGGAATCTTCTGTGCAAGGGTGTGTTGCTGGATGCTCAAGTCATTTGATGATGGTGGTTGTAGAACTATCGCCATCCGGATTGCTGCATATATGTCTTTCTTTAACAAGGTCTGACTTCCCTCTGTTCACATCAAGAGATTTTTCACAGTTGCTTTCTAGGATGCAAAGAGTGCAGAGGATGGGGAATCTTCTGTGCAAGCGTGTGTTGCTGGATGCTTAGGTCAAATATGTGAAATTTAATTTTTTGAGGTGAAGCCTGCTCTTGAGAATGGGTTCTCTGCCGAGCCAGGTGGTGGTGCTGCATTCTCAGGGGATTTTCCTTACGTTCGAACAATCCTTGCAATTTTTCTGTGGCCTAGGCTGCAGTGGGGACTGCAGAGGCTGCAGTCACTGGCGCCCATGAAGTGGACACAGGACCTTTCCTCCAACTAGTCGCCTTGACATGCAAGACCGTTGTCTTGGTCATGCCACTGGCCGGTGCTCGGTGCTCAGTGCTCAGCTCTCAAAGTTGCCTGGAAGAGAATCTGAAACACTAGTTGCTTAGATTTGACGTCGAAACATGGCGATGCGAAAGCAGAGGCAGCAAGAGCTGAGCAAAGAGTGGATCAGCAAGCGGGCTGATCTCCGCAAGCTGTGTCGGTCAGCGGGCGTTCCCGTTGTACGCAGCTTTGCCGCGGCTGTTCGCGCTGGGGTTGTTGACCCTCCAGCCAAAGTGCCAATTTGCCACAAGCCCGCCAACTTCAATAGAAATCCCACTGGCGTCAAAACACGAGAGGCTGATCCCACACGCCAGTCGTGTGGCAAGATTGCATCTGTGGCGGAGAACTTTGCGCAGCCCGAGACAAGTAGGGTCTGCGTAGAGTGTGGTGCCAACATCACGGAATCGAGCCGAAGCTGCCTGCCAGCCTTTTGCATTCATTGCTTCGACGTGAATGTCAAGAAGAACGAGGCATGGTTGCCGAAGCCCGACGAGAAGGCTTCTGAGGCTCCGGCACCGAACAAGGTGAGCCTGTGCACGTGGTGGCAGCGCAAACAAAAAGACAGGGATTTCCAAGAAGGATGCTACGCAGATGTGGAAATAAATGGGTGATGAAGCTCGCAATGCTTTCAAGACAGAGCTTCAAAAGACGGGTGAAATCGCTGTGCCTCAGACCCTAGTTTGTACACCTGACAAGGTGCCTGAGTCTGTGGAGTCTGTAGCATGCACTTTGGAGACGCCTGAGAAAGCGCCATGTACGAGCAAAGACTGGTTTCGATTTTCAGGAGCGGGTCACTTCGTTATCTGCAGTATGTGTTTTCCGATCAGTGTTAGTTAGTGCTTGTTTTCCATCTTTGAGATTTTCAGAGTTGATTGCGTGCAGTGCTGTCGTGCCAGGAAGAGATGGGGCCAGTTCAAGAAGAACATGGAAGATTGTGAGAACGTTTCTGTTTTCTACCAGCAGCATGACCAGGAGGCCTTCTTCATGTATTTGGATGTGGCTGCTCTATGGCAGCAGGGCGTTTTCGAGAGTGCAAAGGGTGCAGTGGAAGCGCTGGGTGACATGCACCTGAACCGCAAAAAGGTAGCTGCTGTGCAGAGGGTAATGGACACTTCAGACAAGAAGACCTTTCAGGACGTGCCTGCCGAGTTTCTTTGCGGCCGAACACACAGAGGTCTTCTCAACGAGACACAGAAGCAAGACTTGCTGACGCATGTGCAGGTCATGCAGAAATCAAACACTGTCTTCACTAAGCAAGACTGAAAGCGCAGCATGTACAATTTTTTTCTTGTGAACAGTGGCTTGGCATCTCTTCAAGAAGAGACAGACTGGGAGAAGTTCTCTGTCTGTGACTGCTCTATGGAAGTTTGCTACCGGCGTTGGCTGGAATGGGTGCGTGTGACTTACCCGAGAGAGTACGAGGTTGTGAACCGCAAGGTCATCGGGATAAAGCCTGAGAGGGCAGCCATGTTGACTCCTCACTCCATCCGTGAACACTTCTCTGCTTTAACTGCATGTTTGGAGCGGTGTGGTATTCTGGATAAAGACGGGAAGATAGCTCATGGCCATCGGCTTTGGGCAGCTGATGAGAAGCTTTGCTCTTTTTTGGAACAGTAACACTTGCACATTTTGTGTTTGTTAGTCCCACTTTTAGAAAACCAACGCGTTGGAATAGTCAGCAGTAAGATAGAGTACATCTCATGCGGTGCAGGAAGGGTATGTGCGACACAGAGGGGAAGCTCAAGTTCGTTTCTGGTCTGGCCATCAAGAAGCTCGGCGCACCGACCTGCTCAGCAGGTGGATCTGGCTTCAAGCACATCTCTGTTTTACCATTCATCTCTCTGGATGGGAAGATCAGTGAACCTTACATTACCATGGCGGGCAGCTCTACGATGAACGTGTGGAAGGAAGTCTGGCCACAGGCGCATGTGGCTGTGAGCGAAAAGGGTGCAGTGACGACAGACCTATTCTCGCAGCGCCTTTGCAAGAATTATTTTTGGGTGAGCAAGACGGGTTTTTGAATAAACAGGATCATCTGTTTGTCTCTAAGGTTCTACGCACACTGGTGTCAATATGTGAGAGATGTCCTCAAGATACCCTTGTCCGAAAGCATCGTTGTGATCCTTGACTCAGGGGGCGGAAGCTTAAGCCACCTCTCTGTCTCTGTGGGTGTCCTGTCTGAGAAATACAACATTGCGCCCTTCTACCTACCACCGCATCATACATGCGCGGTGATGCCACTGGACATGCACCCCAACCGCGCTTTCGAGAGTCATTGGGCTCACATCCGTTCCCGCTCTACTTCCATCAGCTCTTTGCAAGCGTTGGATAGCGCCCATGAATGTTTTGAGCGTGCGTACACAAAGCGCAATGCAGTGAGGGATTTGCAGCCACAGGTTTGCAGATTGGATGTGCTCCTGATCCAGACAAGATTCTCATTGACAAGCCTGAACTCTTCAAGAAGATTGTTCCTGTGGCAGATCGTGACTACAAAGAAGCCCAGAATGCGAATGCTTTACCCCAGCCTCGAGGCTATGAACGTGCTTTGGCTTCACATCCATGCACTTCTTGCAAGAGAAAGGTCCCCACCAGTGCAAAATTCTGCTCGATGTGCGGCGCAACCAACGCAAATTATGATGCGATCCAGGGAAGCGTGTCTCAAGGTGCAAAAAGTCAAGCCTACAAGCGCAAGCCAACACAGATCACTGACATGCAGAATGCCTTAGACTTTTCACCGTCCAGAAAGAAATCGGCCACCAAGGTGTGGGGCGACTTGACAGCCAAGGCCAAAGCCATTCAGCCTGAGCTTTCTGAGGTGCCAGAGACAGAGAAGAAGAAAGAACCAGAGTCAGAGAAGAAGAAAGAACCGACGGCAGCTGAAGAGCGAGAGTTTGATTTAGAATGTGTGGACGATTGTCTTGAGCTGATAGCTCATCACTGGCAGCAGAAAGAGCCTGAAAACTTGCGGGTGGTAGTGAGCTATTTCCTTGCGGATCTGCATCAAAAAGCAACTAAGTCCATGCCACTGTCCCATCTTGTGAATACACAAGTGCTGCAAAGTGGAGTCTTGAAAACTAAGACTTCCAGGCAGGCGTGGCTGGATGCGTGGGCCAAGAACAGATCACACAGGTTTGTACAGCTCCCTGCATACTTGCAGAAGAAGTGATCGCGACTTGGAAAGAGTTGTAGCTTTATTGGGATCAACATGGAAGTCTAAGAAAACAAACTTACCCAACACCTCCACTGACACATGCCAAACAAAAGGAAACCAAAGATTTGGGGGAACATGTTCCTGCGTAATGCACACATGGAGACCCACATGTGGTACACATGTCCCTCCATTGCAAGACACACACCAAAAGAAACAGGGAATATCTTTTCACATAACACGTTGCATCTACGGTGTGCCATGCAGAAACACACATTGAAACCTAGATTTTGTGAGCAACTTGCAGCCCAAACGCAGTGGCACACTAAAACAGCCTGCATAAGTTCATGTTGCCAGTTTTGTGGGTGATGCTGTGCCATTGGGATTCGACACTGTGGGCTGACTTCTTGTTTTTGTGGGCTGACTTCTTTCCATCGGTGTGCCATGCGGTGGGCTGACTTCCTGTTGTGTGGGCTGTGAAAGGTCGAACGCTCGTACCTGCGAGAAGCCGACGATGATATCTTTCAAGCTGTCACACTTATTTTTCAGGTTTTTTAGGTCAATCAGGTGGTCAGGAGGCCGTGGGCTCAGGAGGTCAACGGTAATGACATCGTTCTAACGCCTTGCCGTAACTCTTCCCAGTGTGTGTGTTGAGACACTGGAACTATCTGAAACTCTCCAAACTTGGCAGGATGTCAGCCACATGCTGTCACATGCGTGTTGTTCAAGTTGTTGAACACTGTATCTGTAGTGATGAGAAGCATTGAGAAGCGATAAACTGGTAGGGTGTTGGATGCATATGGATACAATACATAACATATGGACACACACACCTTTAGAATCCTTTAGATGTCCGGCGTTGGACAGCGCTGCCGCTGCTTATATTGCAACATCTTGGCAAGAACCACTTGGAAAAAACGGATGACTTGAATTTGAGGTATATGGAGCAGAAAGACTTCTTGTCCGTGAATGTGGAAGTGAAGGTGGGATTTCGGTAGATTTGACATGCCATGCAAAGCCAGCCAGCATTTTGTACCAAAAATCTGGATGGACGTAGGCCCTGGTGCCGGCTATAATACCGGCTAAAAATTTACCCTGGCGAGCGAAAAACAAACTAACAACCCATGCGCAGCACTTTGTGAGGATGAGGCATGCTGTGGATGTTTTTGGACTGAAGGATGTAGATGGAGTAGTGCCAGACTTTTTCTCAACCCCAAAAACATGCATGTGACATGTGGCAATCAAAACATGTGTTTCCCATCCTGCTTTGCACCATTTCAGGAAAAATCATGTGGCAATGGTCATGTTGGAGATACATGTTGGCTTTATCAGGACATTTGTTGGATCTCCACACTCTTTGACTCTTCCCAACCTGCGCAGCAGCTCACCACGCGCCCCGCCCACCTGGGCGCCCTGCGGCTTGCTCCGCCTTGCTCCGCCTCACTCAGGTGGGACAGCTGAGCCTGTCGGCGTCACCGGAGGCGGTGCAGTTGTTGATGGGTCTCCCCGAGGCGAAGGGGAGGGGATTGGGCTGAGGGGAGGCGAAGCGGGCCCGCTGGGCGAAGCGGGGCGCTGTTCTCAAAAAGCAAGCACCTGTGTGTGTTTTTTTTGGGGGGAGAGGGGGGGCGGGGGGTGAAAGAGTGACTAGGGCGTACACGGTAGAGGTGCAGACCGCTAGTGTCTTTTATGCGCAGAGTCTTATCCTCTTGCTCCTTGAGTCCATTGACTCTCTCTTGAGCCTTGAAGCAGTCAAGCATGGACACACTATATCAGCTGTTGGAGTGGAACCCTGTACAGATAGGCTCTACTTTTCAGCAGGCACAAGATTCATGTCCACTCCTAGCTGATTGCGTATGTCGCATACTCTTTTTCTACTGCAAGGCTAAAACAGTCCAGCTAGCTCTGACAACTTAAAAGAAAACTACGGTGCCATGTACTTACCTAATCCAGTGTGTTTCACACTTCAGAGAAGGTAATCTCATAGCTACTAAATACAGTGAGGGAGCAATAGCTGACTCACCTCAAGTACAAGATCAAATCGATAATGTACCTCGGCTGGAGACTGTACTTTTCGCAGGCGGAGATACCATGTACCGGCGCTCACTAGCTCTTTATGGCCTGAGCTAAATCAAACTAAAAGGGAAAGCGGCTTTTTCTCTACAGAGACCTATAAAAGAATCAAACGACACTCGCGTAACAAAGAACTAAAAATTCAAGACCGCACAAATTGCAATTAATTAAGATGCCTTGCAAAATGCAAGGAGCGTACGGTCCGAGGAATAATCTTCTCGTGACGTGGTCTCGACCGCTTTCATTCACAGACAAAATAGAACTGCATCAAAAGGACTCTTTCTCATTCACATCAAAAACACAAGAAGGAGATACCGGCAAATGTATGTACAAAAAATCTTGCACTACAATTGCAAATTTTGAAATGACTTAATCATCAACCATGACTGGTTGTCCATTAGAGGTCACTTCATAAGAGTGGTGATGATAGATGTCATCAGTTATGTAAAACTGTCCATACCTATCCAAATGCTAAAGCATATAAACCTGGAATGCAGGAGTATCTTCTTTGATAAAAAGTTTCTCCTCATTGCAACCAGAATTTATTAAAACTTCAGCCTGGCAACTTAAAGTCAAGCCTGGAAGCAAAGTATCAACTGTAACCAGAAGTATCTTCACTTCCTAGCCATCATTTAAATCTCAGCCTTCGCTCAGGAATTATGCCGCTGCAGACGATGAAGCTGCTTGATCAGAAGTTGGCGGCCTTCCTTTCCTTCTATTCTGTTTCTGTCTCTCCTTCCTCCGCAAGTTAGCCTCATGAAGAGTTGCTCCCATGCGATACTGTCTTCTGTCTCCAGATGAAAAGGAAGCTGGTCTGAGTGAAATAAACATTGGACCATGACTGTCCTCGTCAGTGGGCCTTGAGCACATAACCTCTGTGTCAATCATAGCAAAGTTCTCTGAAAAATTACAGATGAACTCCTTCGTGCTCACTGTGGAATTTTCATATTCCTCTTCACTCATTGAATGACCCCATTCAACAATGGTAGACAAACATGTATCGCCAAGCTGTGATCCTTGGTATTCTTCTTTTTCAACAGTAGAATATTCTTCCCAGAGTTTGTCAAAGTAATCTTCACACTTCTTGAGGACCTGTGAAGTTGAACTGTAAAAAGTTCTGGGAATAGGTGCTTTGATACCAGGATCTGCTTTTACACGAGCTTCTGAAAACCTGCGGATCCAATGCTGCATGGTGCTGTAATAGTAGTTAGCCATTGGCTGCCTTTTGTACCCAGACATTCTGTAGGCCAAACTATTTGCATCACCAGAAATGATGTCCACCTCATAGACAAAACACTCGTAAAGCATCAATGCTGTCTGTTCTCCTGTCAGTAGGTGGGCATCCACAGCACGGTGTGTATCAACATGATAATTACAGACTCTGATGGTATGCATGTTCGCTCGAGTAAGTGGAACACGCTTATCCTCAGGACCATAGTCATCAAATTCAAAGTCTGCATCCTTGAAATCTTGACGAGGCCTTGTTTCTCCAAAACAAATCTCGTAGATAGCCCAAGTTACATCACGCTGTTCACAGTGACCAAGTTCTTGATCATGTCCAGCAATGATCTTGACATATCCACCTGGTGCCAATCTAGCCATCACTGCAAGATTCTCCCAATCATTGAAACAAACTGTCCAATTCTTTTGCTCAATAAATTCCTTGGCAGGAACAAGAAGATGAGCTTCCTGGAGAATCACGACATGTGCACGTAAAAAGAAGAGCATGTTGAAGAAAAGGTTGTTCTCAAATTGCTCATTCTGAAGTGACATGGCGCTCTGTTTGCGTGGCCTCATTGCACTATCAAGTCCTTGGAGAAACCTTGGTGTGGTGTACTTCTGACCACGAACCATGTTTCCATAGTTCCAGGATAAAAATGTCAAGGACTCTGAGCTGGCCAATAAATTAGTTCCATATGGTTCTTCTATTCTTCCCTTGAGGAACCTTCTGCACAGCTCTTCATAGAAGGTGACAAAGTCCCAACTGGGTCCCTTGGGACCATATGATTCCAGTTCATTCTTGAGTTCCTTCTTCGTCTCCTCCAATTCTTCTCGAGCATGTTCTGCCCTTTCAAGGGCCTTTGGATCGACCTGATACCTGCCATCCAAATAAATGATGCGGTCATCATTGATGAAGAATCTCTTCAAATCATGCTCTGGTTCATGTTCATAACAATCAGGTGGAGGTACTGGACAGATATTACGAATGGATCGAACAAAATCATTCTCATTGATCCTCGACTGATAATGAGGATGGGAAATCTCACCTTTTCTGAAACAAACATGATTCAGCAATCTTGCATGAGTTTCCCTGAAGCATAGTTGATAAAAGCCAATACCTGGATCTCCTGTAATCTCTCCAAGCAACTTCAAAGGTGAAGTATGCAATTCATAGGTATCGTCAGCTTTTGTTGTATCCTTTTCAACAACTACTTCAGATGGAAAAGATTCTTGGATTTCAGCCTCCAATTTCTTCTCTCCATCATCCTCTCTGACCTCTTTTATTTTCTCCACCGCCTCTTTCTTCTCTTCCATGGTTGCATCATCCTGAACTTCTTCATGAAAATGAGGATCAGGAATCTTATTCAGGCGGCTTCTCTTCGATTTCCGCTGACCTGAAGTATCATCAAGGTTTGCATCCATCTCACCTGATGGTAAGTGCGATGCAGTCGAGTCCTCACCTATCTCTCTTGACAGAAAGTGTGGTGTTGACTCTACCTTGGCTTCCTCCTGGTCAACTTCCATCTTTGGTTCCTCTGAAGGAAAAACACCTGCATCTTCATCAAATATTTCTTCTTCCTTTCCAGGTTCAACTGCAGGATCTTCTTCAGGAACTTCCTCTTCCATATTCTCATCTTCTAGAAGTGTTCTACTTCCAGTATAGACTTCACCAGTGATAGTGGAGACTCTTGTATAAGGAGGAACTTCTTCACCTGCTTCAAAAGCTT